AACGAAAGAAGAGAGAGAGAGAGAGAGAGAGAGAGGATTTCAAGGAGAGGCGAAAGGGATGGGCGGCCTTCTCCTCTTCTCTTCTCTTGGGCCATTTGTTACGTCACGCATTGCTGCTGTCGACAATGCAGCACCAATCCAAAAAAACACCCCCTCTCTCTCTCCCCAAATAACTTAAAAAAGACAATGTATATTTAACGTGATCTCGTTAAAAAATTATATATAATCTCCTCAAATAACTTAAAACGACAATTTATACTTAACGTGATCTCGTTAAAAAATTATATATAAAAAAGACAGCGTAACTAAACTGTGACCCTCTCTCTCACACATCTCAAATAACGTTAAAAGACAGTAATAATGTTAAAGGACAAGCATGGACATACATGTACTGTCACAAAAGAGAAAAACTATGGAAACTCTATCCAGAATAAGCCTCCTTTTTTTTTTCTTATAAAATAAAGAGGCTTATTTTGTATGAAAACAAAATAAATGTTTATTTCAAATCTTCATTTAGAAAGCACTTTTCGCATTGAAAATCTTCATGATGGCTCTAAAATTAGTTTCCAACAACAACAGTATAATATAAAACTCAAAAAATAGTGAGATTTTGTGGATTTATGAACACTTATTTTTAGGGTGAAATGGATGGTCTAAATGATTTGATAAGTTTCGATGAGTTATGAAGGGAGGTTTTACATATTTTAATAGGACTGCAACCCTACTAAATTTTTATTTATTTATTTTGAGTACAATGAACTTTAACTTTTATCTAATAGATTTCAAACAAGGTGGTTGTAAGAGTTATTAATTCAACTCAAAGCTAAAAAAAACAAAAAAAAAACAAAATTTTGAACTTTGTGACGCATTCCAAACCATCTAATTTGACATTTGGTGGCTAGAACTAAATGTGTCCTCCTTATAAAATAGATAACATGACCTAGAAAAAGAGCTTGAGCTTAATTGGTTACAACCTGACAATTTATAACGCTATGTCCTAGCTCGTTGTAAACTGTGTCCTAGCTCGATTCCTACCACAGGTAAAGGCCCTCTCTCGACTGACTCACTAAAAAAAATAAGAGAAAGATAACATGATATCATCGTATATAATCCCCACAAAAAATTATGAGAAAAGAGGAAGTGTAAGTGTAATTATTTGCAAGTGACTAAAACGAGTTTGTAATCCAAGCGTTGGCTTGCTTGCTTTGAACGCTTGCGCATGTGGGTGTGTGAGCTCATGGCCTTGCACTTGTGTGAATGTACGGCATTGGCAGTGATTAGAGGGTGAGATGAACGACTCTTTAACGTGTCTCCACACGCATAATTCATGTTGTCAGAGCGGATTGGGTTTCAAACTAGTGATGGGTAGTAAAAAACATATAACCGCTTGTCAAATTGGTTGGTCCAAGTTTTAAAATACATCATCATCATCCAAACTTTATCCCAATTAATTGGGATCGGTTATATAAATATGCTCCTCCATTCTTCTCTATAAGAACTATACCATACGTATGCTATATTTTAAAATATATAAAAATAAAAATAATATTTAAAAAACATGTCATAGTTTATTGCAAAAAGTTTATATACGGTTGCTTATAATATAAAAGTAAGGTGCACCTCAAAATCTAATAGAAATGATTGTTCCAAAGTTGGAAAATAGTCCAATTAATCATCTCGGCGTCGAGATGTATGGATCAAAAATAAAAATAAAAATAATTACAAACCCTAAAATTAGTGCATCTGTAACAAGTTATTTGGATCGTCTATTTTCAAGATTTTACATGTTTTTAAATCTGCTCGATCTGCGCTATTTTTGGATTTTTAAATTTCATAATTAAGATTAAACATAGATTTTCAAGCTATCTTAAGATTTTCAATACTACAAGTATATATTTTGACAAAATGTACGTTACTTGTATAGTATAAAGTAGGCACATTATACCAACCTCACTCTATATTAACAACAAAAGTTGCAAGAAGTTGTCTTAACTTTGTTTGGTGGATCTAAAAATCAATACCTATTGGTCCAATAGGTCAAATCCAATAAAACAATGATTGGTTTTTGACTAAATCTGATTTTTGATTTGGATAAAATTAACTAA